TTCTCCCTCTACCTTCCCCTTCCCCTCCTGGTATCACTACTCTCATTATTGGTCCTGAGGACTTTATCTGTCCTGGGGTATTTTACTTTTCAAATTGAGTACTAAAATCTGAAAATAGATGGCAATTATACCAAAACACCTATTTATCCGCAGACTATTTTCAGCAGCTAGGTATCACACCTACATCGGTCACCAACACCAAAGCAACCCAAACTCAAGACCAACTTATAGCAAACCTACAGCACAGAATAGAGGAGACAGTCTCTTTCTCCTACACTTTGCAGTTAGCAATCCAAGCCTCTGGGCACCTTTATTAGGTTTTAGTTATTATCGCTTCCTGGCCTTTTGTCTAAGATCAAGTGAAGGTTTCGTTATTTTTCTATCCTTCTCAGGAGCCCCAGTGACATAGTGGGTTATGAAATGGGCTGCTTGGCGCAAGTAGTTCAACAACACCACTTGTTCTTCAGATTAAATGAGGCTTTCTGCACCCCAAAGAATTACTTTCGGAAACCACAAAGGCCAGTTCTACTCTGTCCTATAAGGTTGCTATGAATTGAAGTTGACTCAATAGTGGTGACTTTTTAGCTTGTATCTTGTTATAGGTTAAGTAAGCAAAATACCATCCTCACTATAAAGAACATTCATGATTTTAAAGAGAGAGCCAGAGCCTGCTAAAAGACCCAAGAGGTTATAAACAAAAACTAAATCAAGTGTACAGGCAACCAGAGTAGGAAATGCTGTGTGTATGCGCGCACACACACACACACACACACACACACACACACACACACACACTCTCTCTCTCTCTCTTGCCATATACTAGGTAATGGGAATCTAGGATAGACTCTTCACCACTAAGATTTAAGAAATAAAATTCTTTATGTGCTAATTGGTGCTGAGCACCAAGGAATTTATTGAATATGGTAGACAAAGAAAGTGGTTAAGTTTCACAAGAAAGAACTCCTCACATATTATCCACTATAATAGAAAGACTGTGAACTCTTCATGTCTAGATTCAAATGACCCATAAGACTCTTCATGTGGCATTAACTCCACACTCTACAAATGGAAATTCAACAATATTCAGTTCTACTAAATAAGCTGGTGCTGCTTCTATGATTCTACAAGTCACCAAGCCAGTGAAAGTTGTCACTTAAACAATTTGTAACTTTTGGTAGAAACAAACTTAACACTCTTTAACACTGTATCTCCCAAGTTTCAAGCCCATTTAACAGTAGCAGATAAGCAGATTCTTAGAAGAGAATAGAATCTCTTCTTCTTCTAAGCATCCTGTTTATAACTATGTCTAAGGCTATTTATACAGAAAGCCATTTTCAAATCAAACAGGCCTCCAGTGCTCATCATCAAATACAAGGGGGCTTCAAATAACTAACAGAAAAATGGGATTAAAAAGAGAATGGAATTTTTCTACAAACTTTTTGAAGCCAACTCAGACTGCTGTGAAAGCATGCACTTAAGAGTATAAATATGTGTATTCAGGAATATTTACCTTGGTTTTGTCCTTGACGAAATTTAGAGTATTTGTCCCTCTTTAAGACAGATTATACAACAATTAGAGCATGGGCAGCCTATGAACACTTTAAGAGCTTGCCAATGAAAGTGAAACAGTAAGTTCTATTGTAGCTTACTGTTAATTTAATGTGCTGAAACCTGACCAAGATTCTTTTCAGTATATATTCAATTCATCTTCAATTTGGTCAACTAAATACTTAAGAATTGAGGATGTAATCCAATCCCCACCACCAAGATCATAGTCTAAAATGTTAGCCTTAAGCCATCTTTAGACAGCTCAAAAAAAGACCCCAAGGAGAATGATATCAGCTAAAGCAGAAGTTAATTTCTGACAAGAACAATATCAACCAGTAAAGAAGACATTTTTAAGAAAGAAGTTCCATATACCTGTAATATCAAGAACTGAAGGAGAGCCAATGTAGTATCTATGAACGGTTTCAAGAAGTTGAGCGCCATGGCCTTGACCTTGAAATGGAGTCAATATCAGCATCTGACTACAATAAAAAATTATTTTAAAATTAAAACACGACAATTTGAAAAAACACTAAGCATTAACTTATAAACAACATAAGTTGTGTGATTTAAATTAAAAAACCTCCAATAAATCCCCAAACTATTGTGATACTCAAAAGTGATTTAATCTTCCATATTGTTTCAAAGAGAACAATGAAATAAATCAGTAGAGCCAGTAAATAATGGTGATTAAAAAAAACCAAAAACAAATCAACACTATTATAACAAGTATTGGAAACTTCAGCAGTTCCTTCTTCTAAAATAAAAGACAAGGCACGTGTTATACTGCCAATTACCTTACACGTGGCCGGGTTTTGTCTGGGTACACATAGTAATTATAGACTGTCATGTAGCCTACGGTCGCAAAGAGCGTAGCTCCATCCTTATTATACTTCTCAAATCTGCAGATAAAACAGAAAGCCAAGCAGGTCAATTACAGTCGCGCTCCCATGCAGTGTCCATTTTCTTTTCCATTCTCTGACTGAATTTTCAGTGTCAGCAAGCTACTCTGTGAGGGCCCAATGGGTACACCTGCTATGTTCTGAATGTACAATTCACTTAATTGGTGTGCAGCAACTTGGATAAATCAGACCTCTTTACATCACTTCAGTGCACTTGCCTATTATAAAGATGAATAGGTGGCAAGTAAAAGAAAACACAGGCAAAGCTCATTTTACTGTTTAAGCCTACATTCAGGGTCCTAACGGACAACAGCATTTAATTCAGTTCTATTCTCAAGGTCTCCCAAAGCATAATGAAGGAAAACTCAAGCCTCATAAACAATAGTTTTTCATTCCTGGGAAAAATATCATTATACTGTCCCAATAATTGGGCCGCCACAATTAAAATGCTGGCTTTGTGGAGGTAATAAGGTCTACTGTTGCTTTAGAACTGTACTTACACTAGAAAGTAGTGCCATCTTTCATCATCCACGTCAATAAAGCTAGCAGTTTCAATAAACCACATCAAAAAGGTCTGGAGCCTTTCATGATATTCTCGAAAGCCTCTACATGTCATGTCAGCCTAGGGAAAAAGCCAAGAAAAGTCAGGTGAAGCTCATCACAGAGGTAAGTAAGAGTCTGCAAAGCATAAAACTATCCTTTGGGAAAATGTTTAAAGTCTCATAGTAAGATGTACAGAGAGAGAGAGAGAGGGAGAGGAAGGAAATAGTCTCCTGTTTTCAATACTGACAAAAATTTGTTGCCTGAAGTTAGGAATAGATCATTGAAAACAACACAACAGTGCTCGCTTCAGCAGCACATATACTAAAACTGGAACGATACAAAGAAGATTAAGCATGGCCCCTGTGCAAGGATGACACGCAAATTCGTGAAGCCTTCCATATTAAAAAAAAAAACCACACAACAAAATAGGCATACAGGTTACAGGCAAGTGGATTTAACTGTACTATAAAATCATTCAGTCGTATCTTTACCTTGTAAATCTGAAAAGTAAAGTTTTCTCCTCCCGTTGGACTGAGAACAGAGTAGGTATGGAGTAGGGTTCCAAATGGTTTGAAATCAACCTCTTTTTCCAGCAAAGAAAGAAAATCATTTGTGTTTGTGCAAAATCCAGGTGGAATGATCTGTCTAATTTTGCCCTCAACATCATCAGCCTGAGAAATGAAGATTTAAAGAACATAAAAAATTAATGGCATATTAGACTTTTGGTTAAATATACTCAATTTCTTTGAAAAAAACATAACAAAACTTCGATTCACAAATTACATAAAAACATAATGAACTGAAAAAGGCTAAGTTCCATGTACATAAAACTACACTGCCACAGTAATTTGAGATGAACTAAAATACAAATTAAAAAAATAAAGTGTCAAGTAGCCTGGTGTTAAATATGTAAACAAGGGCAAGTCTATATTGAAATTCCTGACATCATATATAAAATGCTGACAATATCCCTTCATGGCAATTTAAACTAGCCGAAACAAAAAGGGGGTTTGTTATTTTACACACATGAAAGGATTACCAACACTAGTGACGTGAGGCCAGAGTCTCAGCAAATGAGGAACAACCCCCAATGAGCTAGCAGACAGGTAACAACTCCTTCGCACGTCAAACTCAAAAACAAGACAGTTTTATAATAAACCCAAATAGGAAATACATAAACTATATGAATGGCTACATTATCCACTCCTTCCTATAATGTGGCAGTTTTTATCGACTTGGATTTGTGAAGGTAAAAAGAGACATGTCTGGACAACACAATTAAACTCAAAGATTAAAATTACCCTTCTTAAACAACCTTGATGAATGTTAAAACTATCAGCTGAGCAGACTTCATAATCCTTTTCAAAACCCCAAAAGACCACTTGATTGAATACATTTACTACTTCTCTTTAACCATGAATATTTGATGAAGTCTTACAATAAAGTATTACTGCTTCTCACCAGGCAATAAAACTTAATGAATTGGTCTCAACTTAACAAAACCTTATCCTTCAATACAGTCCCTAAAAGCCTGACATTACATTCAACAAAATGAGCTTGCATTCTATTCAAACTTTTTCCTGAACAATGAAGCCAGGTTTTTACTTAATGGAGTTTGCCGTGAGTTCAGCTGTAATGTTTGTATTGTATCTATTTCCACAAGGACTGACACAAGAACACTTTGTGTTAACTTACTAAGCAGCTCTTTCATACCGTTTACATGCATGATGGGTATTAGTTCTAAACCAAGACCCTTGCTACTTAGCATTCAAAACAGGGAAATTAAGATGCTTAGGACAAAATACACTACAAAAGGCTAATACAACATGCTACTAATTCTTGTCCTTTCAACCATCTTTTAAACTAAGTAGAAGCAATGCACCTGCAGATGAATAGCACTTTATTATCATTCAGTTACATTTTAGGATAGAGAACCAGAGATGGCATTTATCACAAACAAGTTTTATTCTCAATATTCTGGTACCACCAACATTTATATGTAACTTGTTTATAGCTATTTTAAAAAGAGCTTTTATTTTAAATATAGTTCTTCAACATTCTCCCCAACATACATATACCAAGTCCTTGCAATCCATTCACCCTGAAGACCAAATAAACTTCATTTGATCAGACTGTCTTGGCTTATTTTAAAAGTACTATGTGATAAATATTTTTCCTCATAACCGCTATCTAATGTGAAAAGACCATCTTAACCACATTTTATAGAATTAGTGTAAATTTCAATAAATACACGTGAACACTAATAACGAGGGATAATTTTAATAGGTCTATTGTGTGGTAATTAAAATCCAAAGTAATGATGAGCAAAGTGCATAATTTTAGTTGTTCTTAAAAAGTTAAGAAAAAACTACCCTTAACAAACAGATTTATAATCAATAATTTATAGTATGTATAATTTTAACTTTTGAAAAATTTCCTTATGTTCTGTCTTCTTAGTAAGTCTCCAAAAAACTTGGATCAAATCACTTTAAACATTTCTTGCCTCATACCTACTTCACACATTTCTCAGATACTAAGCTTCAAATGGCAATCTTGGTGGAAGACGGCAATTCAACGGTTGAAGTAAAGTTGATGAATTACGGGAAGTTTACACATTATGTCAACAACTATTCTACAAAGGAATAAAAGAGGAATGCTATAGAGGCACAGACTAAAAAATAATGTATATTTGACTTACATAAAACACATAACTTACATAAAAGACCAAATATTTACTAAACTTAAAATTAAGGTATTTGTTTCTCTCAAAAAAAAAAATCACTGTATCTATTAAATTGATTCCACTTTAAAAAAAACTCAGTAACTTTACATGCCATTGACATCTGTACTCTTTTTTTAAAAAAATTTTAATAACAATTTAACATATTGATTTTTAAATTGGTAACTGCCCAGGTAATTAAATCATCATTAGAGAAAAACTCTACCTAAGCAATTTTTAATGAAATGTAGGTAGAGTTAATGGTTAATGGAAACACTTTCACTTAAATGCTTATAGCTGAGTCAATTCTCCTTTCTGCAGATCACTGACTAGAGACCAAGAATCCAGAATGCAGCCTGATATTAGCTAACAGAAGACATTCCTTACAAAATTTTCCTAATATGTGGCTATTTCTTCTTTAAAAAAAAAAAATACATTTGGACTATATATTCTCACTTTAGCAATTTCCAGTTCAAATGTTCTATACTTGTTACATATGAAGATAATAAGCATCAATTTTTGTTTACTTCTTCACTGTATTTAAAGGTATCTGATAATAACTGGTGATGTTACATTTACACTTATTTGTATTTACACACATCTGAAAACTAAGTAGTCATTTCCTACCCTAAATAAAATACCCAACCCACTGCTATTGAGTAGATTCTGACTCATACTGACCTGACTCTAGATGGAGTGTCCAAGGCTGTAAATCTTTATAGAACAGAAAGCTCATCCTTTTTTTCCCCAAGGAGCTACTGGTGGTCTTGATCTGTGGACCCCACAATTAGCAGCCCAATGCATAACCCACACTAAGCCACCAAGGCTCTTTTTTACCCATAAGAGTAAGGTAGTTAAGTAACCAAAGGCATGTTAGGAAGGTGGTATATGTTGTTCTTTACCTGGATACAGTGGTATATAAACTTAACAGTGGGTTATAATGGACTGTTAACCACTGGGCCAGCAGTTCAAAATCTCCTGCTGATCCACAGGAGGGAACAGAAATGAGGCTTTCTGCTCCCATAAATATAGCTTCAGACACCCAAAGGGTCAGTTCTACTGTCTTATATTGTGATAAGTTAAAATGGACTCGATAGTAGTTTGTCAGTTTTTTGGGGTTTGTAATTCAAAGAATAACTAAGGTTATGCTATAAAAAAAAGGAAAACAATTTTCTACATTTAGTTAACTTGTTTAATCTTACATTCGCTGGCTCAAAAAGTATTTGGAAAAAGGGGATGGAAAGATAATGGAATTTTCCTACAAACTTCTAGAAATCCCTTCATATTACAGCTTTTAAAAAAATCATTTTATTAGGGGCTCTTACAACTCTTATCACAATCCATACATACATCAATTGTGTAAAGCACATTTGTACATTCATTGTCATCATTCTCAAAACATTTGCTCTCCACTTAAGCCCCTGGCATCAGCTCATTCTTTCCCCTCCCTCCCTGCTCCCCCCATATTACAGCTTTAACGGTATATCTGAGTACTGTCAGAAAGTAAAATATTTTTAAAGTGCACATTTAAGTCATATTTTATTTACTTATACTGGATTAGACTAGATGCTACTAATAATAACAGCGCTTTACTATCTAAACTCACAAACCAATTCTAAAAATTAAAACACAACTTTAAGATTTCACAAAAAGTATTACTCATACATAAAATTATCCTATTATGAATATAGTAGAATATTAGTATTTACATGTTAAAATTTTGCATAGAATTTTCCAGAAAGAGGCTATCAAATCCTGAAATTATAAAACAAAAACTGCTCTAATTTACTCAAACTCAATCACATTAACGGAGTTGAGGCCGACTCATCGTGACCCTATAGAGCAAGGCTAAACTGCCCCTGTGATTTTCTGAGGCTGTAATTCTTTATGGGGGTAGAAAGTTCTGTCTTACTCCAGAGGAAAGGCTGATGGTTTTGAACTGCTGACCTTATGGTAAGCAGCCCAACATGTATACACTATGCCACCAGTTCCAGAATGAGAGTGGAATTCAACCTAAGGCCTCTCTTTGTGCTCACACAGTTGGTAGAAAATGACATCCATGTCTCAACAAGCTACTGCTTGGCATGAAGGTCTTCGATTGGCACTACTATAACATGATGCTGGGGAATATGAAGGAGGGATAAACTGAGGTCTGAGAGGCAAAGTCAAGATGAACCAAGCCTGTTAACAACGACCATCACATCTCCAAGATGTTCCTGCAGGGACTCTGTCATCATTCAGCAAGTAGAGGTCAGCCCCCAAGCCACTGCCCTATGTACTGGGAAGAATAATTTCCCTGTGTTTTCACTACTTAAAAAAAAAAATTAAGATAGTGCCTAATTGAGAGACTTTACAGACATTTTAACTCTGTCTCCAGAAGTTTGATATACAGTGAACCCTCGTTTATCGCGGTTAATC